CGAATTAAAATTTTATAAGGCTCAATTTTCACGTTTCGAAAAGTAAAAAAAAAAAAAAGAATAAGAATAAAAAGAAAGAATTCGGTATGAAAAAAAAAAAACGAAGAAAACCTGAAAGAAGAAATAGAAGAAGAAGAAGAAGAAGAAGAAAATCAAGATGAAACATGATTTTGTTTCATGCATCTCACATTCATCCGCCATTTTTTTTTTTTTCAAAAAAGTATCTGTTATCATCTGATTTAAAAAAAAAAAAAAAACTTTTTTTCTTTTCTCTCTCTCTCTCTTCCTACCCCCTCCTCCTTCTCCTCCTTTTTCTTCTTTTTTTTTTTTTTATTCTTATAAATAAAGAAACTGAATATTTTTTTTTCTTTCTATTTTTCATCTTTTACACCATTTTCTTGTTGTTTTCCTTTTTTTTCCTTTTTTTTTTTTATTCTTTTCTTTTAGTAATCAAGAAACTGTTTTTTTGTGTTTTTATTCTTATTGTACCTTTCATTTTTTTCCTTTTTTCCTTTTTTTTTTTTAAACAAAACGTAAGAAAAAAAAGAAAAAAATTGAAAAGTTTTAACTTACACAAAAACAAAAAAAAAAAAAATTTTTTTCGCTTTAAAAGATTCTGAAAAACTTTTATTATTATTATTATTATTATTATTAATTTTTCTTTTTGTTTAATAAAAATTTAATAATTAAAATTTCAATAAGTTATTGATCATATAAAAAAAAAAAAAACAATATGGACGTACTTCGTTACGATGAGTTTTTCAAATAAAAAAAAAAATCATAATTATCCTACTGATAACCCGATACGTACTGATAACGTAAAAAAAAATGTCGATTTTTTCTGTCAGACATTTTTAAAAGAAAAAAGGAAAGAAGAAAGAAAAATAAAAGAGGAAAAATTACAAATAAAAACACGTAAAACATTATCAAAACATTAATCCCGGGTTGTAAGTTGTAATCAGTGCAAGGAGTCACACCAAAAGAAGAAAAAGTAAAAGACAAAGGATTAATGGAAAATAAGGTGAGAGAAAAAGGAAAAAGGAAAAAGAAAAACTTGCCGGGTGAGGGGAGGGGAAAGAGGAATGAATTACGACAGGAAAAAAAAAGGAAAAAAAGACAATTGAAAAAGATCAAAAGGGCAAAACCTCTAAAAGTTAAAAAAAGTAAAAGTTTTTTTTTTTTTTTTTTTTTTATTCTTTTTCTTTAAATCGTTGTCGTTAAAAATTTTTCATTTTCTAACATTTAACTATTATTATTATTATTATCATTATTTTGTTTTTAAAATTTCACGCGAGGAGGGGGGAGGGAGGGGAAAACCAAGAGTAACCTATGGAAACCTTACGTGAATCAAAATGACAAAGAAAAAAAAATAATTTCGGGGAAATATTAACGAAATGTTTCAAAACATTCTCTACGCAAATGAAATGAAATTAAAAATGTTTCGAAACATTTTCCGAGGCATTTTTTAGCGTAAATTTTAAGCAAATTAACCTTTTCTCCCTTTTTACAGTCGATGAAACAAAAACTTATGGTGACCAATAACCCCGACTTAATCCCAAAAAATTATTTAAATAAAAAAAATAAAACTAATGTAAGAATATTATTAATAATAATGATAATAATGGTAATAATAATAATGATAAAGTGAATCATCACCATAAAAAATAATTTTTTAAAAACTTTTTTATTTATGTTAATTTTTTTTTTTTGCTTTTCATTTGCATTTTATTCATGGGGAAAAAAAAAATTTTTTTTATTTTTTTTATTTGAAAGGCTCATCAAGAAATTTTTCGTCAAAAAATTATTTTATCCTTTTCTTTCCTTTTCCTCCCTCCTTACCTCCCCCACCCCCACCTCCCTC